AAGGTCAACCTGCAAAGAGGTACTGTAAGATTAAACTCTAACCAAACACGTTATTCAGCTTAGTCTCTCCTTTGAGATTTGCTGCTCTCCTGAGTGTTGGCAGAGCCATCATTGGCGGGTATCAAATTAGTAACCCGAGACCTTATGCAATGGTATTCCAGGCCATATACCTTTGAGCTTGTGTTTTAACTGCAAGGTTTAGTTGGAGGTGTACCTTAACAGCGGAACAAATGTCTCTTTTTGAGGATTTTGTTGTCTACCTCTGCTCTAGTCCCACCGCTTTGTTAGGGGTTGTTGCTCTCCTGCTCGTCCTCCATCTTGTTTCCAACAGTTTCACCTCCCAGGCATTCGGAAAGGTGCCTCCAGGTCCGAGGCATCTTCCCCTGCTTGGCAACCTGTTGCAGCTCGATCTCAAGAGACCATACATTACCCTGTGTGAGGTGAGTTAAGCTAAAGTATCGCAAAACAAATCCATTTTGTTATATATTTGAAGGTCCTTTTGTCATTAGAAATGTCTTTACACAATCTTAGACTCTACGTTTTCTATTTTTACAGCTTTCGAAGAAACATGGGTCTGTGTTTACCGTCTACTTGGGAACCAATAAAGTGGTGGTCCTGGCTGGATACAAGGCAGTCAAAGAGGCTCTGGTCAGCTACGCAGAAGAGTTTGGAGACAGAGACGTCGCCCCTATTTTTTATGATTTGAATCAAGGTCATGGTAGGATCTACCTTTACATACTCTTCAATATACAGTGTGTGTACTTTTTAGCACAGAACCAAATAATATAAATGACCAGTTATAGCTAAATCAAGTGCACAAATATCCTTGTATTTGTCATCTGTTTGATTATACACAGTTTTTATTTTTGGTTTCAATGTTTACGTTTCTACTTTGTTTTATATCACTGATGCGTGTTGTATCTAATGATATCCACATGACTAGTTCAGATTAAATGTAAATTGCATGTCATACTTGATAGGAATTCTGTTTGCAAATGGAGAATCATGGAAAGAGATGCGGCGTTTCGCCCTCACCACCCTCAGAGACTTTGGGATGGGCAAAAGACTCTCTGAGCATAAAATCTTGGAGGAATGCCACCATCTGATCCAAGAGTTTGAAAAGCACAAAGGTATGGAGTTGAAATATACAACAAATAGCAGAAGGTCACATCTTAATGCTGAGTGACAATTCCTCTGCAGGGTTTGTTATTTTGCTCAGAAAATGGTACGCTGTGCTCAAGTCATCCCCCATATTCTAGTTTTTTCTGTAGCCAGTGTAAGTCATGGTGGGGTTTGCTTTAATAGTACAAGACGATAATTTTCCTTTTGCTTTTACATCTTAATAATTTTCAGTATTTTTGACTGCCATTTCACAGGGAAACCATTTGATACAGCATGCCCGGTAAATTACGCAACATCCAATATCATCTCCGCTATTGTGTACGGCAGCAGGTTTGAGTACAATGACCCCCGATTCAAAAACCTGGTGAGAAGAGCCAACGAAAACATATGCATTGTGGGCTCTGCGTCAATCCAGGTGACCTTCGTATTTGCTTTTTAATCTGCTGCAGTTTTAAGGGGATTGCACACAAGCAGGGGTAGCTGATGAAACTGTGAAAGGTTGTGCAGAATGGTAAACAGCATCAGCATTTTATAGCAGTAGATTCATATACACATACACGTATATATATTAGGGGTGGGGGAAAAATTTGATACAGCATAGTACCGCGATATTTTGCGTGGCGATATTGTATCGATACACGGACGCCAAGTATCGATCTTTTATTATATAAACTATTAAAAAAAAAAAAAAAAAGAATTACTAGAAAAATCAAATCAATTGCTTTTTCAGTCCACTAGATGGTGCTGAGTTGTTTTCTGGTGAGGTCAGCAAAGGTCCCGGGTCAGCGTGATTGGTAGGAAGTTGGTCAAAACAAAGATAGACATCTGGCCTCACAACGGGATTAAATCTGCCAACAGTACGCAGGCTCATGGGGAGAGTGCAGCGCATAACTGTCTCTCTGCCCTTGACGTCCACGCATCGCAAGTTATACTGAGTTATATAACTCTTATATCCTACTTATATAAGTTATAGTTCATATACTGAGTCCACACGTTTGCATTTAGTTAAGTTGGACTATGTAGTAATACATTCAGTTTGTCAGGTTCATGCAACATTTATGACATTGTTGGTCAGTCTGTCTGCTTGACAATCCTATTTTGCTGCAATAAAAATGATTGAAGTGAGATGAACAGACTGAAAACTATCTTGTTAGATAAAACATGTTGACACAGTTTTCCTTTGGGGACATAATTTGAAGTTGAAAAAAGTAATAAATCGCAATATAGGCCTATGTTATCGCAATATTCAGAATATCGCAGTATCGTGATAATATCGCAGTATCGTGATAATATCGTATCGCGGGATCTCTGGTGATTCCCACCCCTAATATATGGTCCAACAGAAGGCTGAGTATCGTCTGCAGACCTTTTCACAAGATTTAGGCTAGTACTTTCAGATTAGGGTAAACATCAACTATATCTTTAGATAGTGTGCAGTGGGACCAACTTTAAGTGACAAAACAATACAAGAAAATGCTGTCAGACTAAAAATGGATGTAAACTGGTTGATTATTTAACTGTGTCAAACAACTGATCAAAAAGTGTGTCTAAATGCTAAATCTACAGTTTATGAATACATATACTGTACGTAATGGGGCACACAGAACACATCTTGCTGTCTAACGTGTTAAACAAAACATGAAGATTTTGTATTATTCTATGAATTCTACTTGGGTTGTTGTTTGGTGTACATTGTATTCACTATAATCTTTGTTGTTTTCACTGTTGCATCACAGCTTTACAACATGTTTCCCAGGCTGGTCAGTTGGATAAAAAACCGGCAGATTTTATTAAAAAATGTTGCGGTGACTGTCAGAGATGTCAAAGAATTAATGATGCATCTGAAAGAGACACTGAACCCTCACTTCTGCAGGGGGCTTGTGGACTGTTTTCTGATCCGGAAGCAGAAGGAGGAGGTAAGACAACGTTTTTTTTGAAGTTTTCATCCATCAAAAAGAGCTGATGTTATGCTTATTTGATGATATATGGGCGTTCTTTCTCTTAGGACTCTTGTGTTAAGGACACTCACTACAATGAGAAGAACTTGATATTCACAGTGACCAACCTGTTTTCAGCTGGTACCGATA